CAAGGTTTATTATTGTAATTTATTCCAGTTTGGCGGGCCGGATTAAAAGGTTTAAAGGGCTGCATACGGACCCCGAGCCGTAGTTTGCCCACCCCTGGTTTAGACTAATATATAAATTCACCCATGGCTTTTATAGACAAAGTTCACGTGTCTCCTTTAGTAATTACATGTCTGATTTCTCTTTAAAACCCAGTGTTTAAAGGAAACCTATTTTGCAAAACTGACTTTTCAAGGCTTTTAATAACCATGTTATAATTGTTTCCCTTTCCACCCACTTGAAGTTGCATTTAGTATGGTTCATGCATACTTGAGGAACCTTAAATCTCCTATATTCAAGATGTCATTGCTCCAGTCTACCTCCATTTATACCTCCATCCACTCATGCATGCCCACTTCTCTATACGTACTTTGTACTCCAATGTAATTTTCATACTTTTGTCCACAGGTGTCATACATTATAAGTAGCAGAAAAAAGGCGCATTCAGCTTCAGCTCAGGATTTAATTTAGTTAAATTCTATTATTATTATTATATTTTGAACCCAACATTAAAATTGTTAATTAACTGCAGATGTGCTTTAAATATTTACACACTAAACCTGATAATAATTCAGTAATAATGTTTTGCTTTATGCACATCATTTATCACATATTTATGCTGGCAAAGATTAAACTAATCAAAATGTCCTTTTTGGTAAGACTGCATCCATTTTAATTCTCGGCAAAGAATACAACATCATATTAAGATGTGGCTACTAATCAACATGTGATTGATGTGATAAGTAATTATAGCATGAAAAAAGATTTATTCATGGTTAAATCTGAGGTAAAAAGGCAAAATTCTAATGTGATTGGCTGCTTATAAAACCAGAGATCTCACAATATTTATGCTTTTGAAATTTAATCATAGTCACAGTTAGGGCTATGCTAGGTGTGAAAAGTAGGTTTGTTGGTTTATTTATTCATTAATTTCCTCATTGCTGAAGCATTGTGGAGGACCGATTAATTTGTAATCATGTTTTGGCTAATCTTGCTAGGTAATTATGTGACACTTGATGAGACTGTATACATACACTGTTGTAACGCCTTTGTGAATACTTGTACTCTCATCTGATCCAATAGTTACTTTGCATAACAACACTAGTTATGTAAGACTATTTTTCTCATTGTCCAGAGCAGACATTACATTAGTCTTCAAACGCTTATTTAAGCAGAAGCACTAGCAGCGTTAGCCGTAGCACACTTGCCAGATGTGTTCCGCCTTCTGCAGCGATAAGTGAACATGGGCCTCCCTCCGGACACTCTGACATTAGCTTAGCTCCCAGACGCTTAAGCTGACTCGCACACCAGCCCTCCAGAGGCTTGTTGAGCTCTCATTTTCGTTAGCTGCCTTATTGTGCTGCACCATACTTATTACACACTGAAAGCCCAGAGTGACAGAGAAGAAAGTGGGATTTTCTTAACTTGAAATTTGGTATTTTGTCACATGTGGAGAGCTGTGAAATGAAACTGTAATTTCCCTAAGCTGTTTTAGGCTTTACTTCTGTTTTGAATTAGAGATGTTGCTCTATATTGATCATTTGATTACTATTTGATATGTATTTTATTCTGTAATTGTTCAGATGGTAAAACTGTGAATAAATATACTTTATTGATATTGGATAAATATCATAAAAACACCCTTCCAGATATGAGGAGAACATGAAAACCAAGTAAGGTGTAGTATGTAACATTTCTGGTGGAGGGTCTGACACCTGTCTCCATGCCTGAATATTGCCTGGAATGTTCCACAGTGCGGTATTAACTGTATCTTTCTCAACAGAGACCAGGACATGTTACAGGTCAGATCTGTGGAGACCTATACACTGCAAGACAATGCATGTTTTTAAGCTAATTTGTAATAATCAAATTCACATCACCAGAAAAAAGCAGTGATTTACACATCATGAATGGTTTTCCACATTTGGAAAAGTGGGCAGGGTCTTCTTAGTGGTCACTTAAAACACAACAGCTTCTGGCAAAAGACCATGTGCCAATGTGTGATATTATCAGTTAGGGATTTTTTTTTAGACTGATGCTTTATTTCTGGAAAAAAGAAAAAGATATCTAGCAAGCCAGCTGCACTGCTATTTAGGACATGCTAAAAAATGAATAAAACTCAAAGTGGGAAAAAGCTCCTTCCCAAAGCAGTAGGGGTGTGCCATTTCATAACATACACTGTGCACTGTTCCAGACTTGCAGCCAATTAAAGGTTATCAGAGCTCAAAATAATAGTCCTGCAGGGCAGCTCTCTGGATAGTCCCGTCTAAAAATATATTGCCTTGCTCCCATTTACTATTCCCCGAGATCTTAGCAGTGAAGAGGATACAGACCTGCTCCTCTGCAAGTGTTGATAAACCATTTGGGAAAGGATTTAGACTGGGTATCATCACACAAGTAATTATTTTTGCTTTATTTTCCCAGGGTAGAAATGACCTGAGGACTCAAAGCAGTTCCAGAGCACCGCTTTAACTAAGGTTGCACCTGCTTTAAGAAATGAGAGGAAACATATTGCACATGTGGACTATTACCACAAAGCTACAGTCCTCTAAATATTAATCAGTAGCAAAAAACACTTAGGAAATACTTATGGGAAAAATGCAAAAAATAATCCAAAAAGTATCAGTAGTTAGAATAGTTAAAGTACCTTAATTTGCATTTAAAATTAAACACCTAAGACCATTACTCTTTATTATAGACTGCATAAAAAAGCGGACCAATCAACTGTGACGTCACTCCAGGCAAATGAAGTCAATCTAATAAAGTTATAGAGGCTGATGTGGAACCAAATTCCATATTTGGAATACTGACCACGAGTATCATGGCAACCAATCAGGACCAAGGGTGTTGAAGATAATGTTTCTTCTCACGCGCATTGCTGGTTTGACACAGGATGGAAGCTTAACAACGCTTTCAAGGTAGCATGAGCAACCTTGGAGAAAGAAGGTATCTCATCAGTTTGTTCTTAATGTTCAGATCTTTATTTATGGAAAAAAATGGCAAATAAAAATGCCAGGATCATGTAGAGTGGGTTAATACAAACATTTCTGAACCAAAATGATGAGCAGTTACACTAGAGCCAGAGTCGATGGAGCCGAAACTCACCCATGCTCACTTCCCTTGGAGCTAGAAGGTTAACTATGTCCATTTATGTACAGTATATACAGTCTAAGCTCTGCACAGACTACAACACACAACCCGGTTATACTCCATTATAGCGACTTTGCATTGCGACAAACAAATGTTTAATATTGATGATATGTTATGTGACTAAGGGTGGGTTTAGGATTAGAGTTAAGAGCTGGTATTTATTCGAACTTTGGGACAGTTATGCTAACCCAGTTTTGTTGTAACTTACTTAAATAAACTTTCTTTCTACAAATAATACATTGGAATACTTTATGCAACTACTACTCATAATGCTGTTATTGTTATTGCTAGATGTGCAGTGGTGAATAGTTGTAAAAGTAAAAGCATATTGTAAAAGATGTGCTCCGAAAGTATAATTCCTCATTAAAATCAATGTCATGGTCAAAAGTATATTGTCCACTGGTGACTTGCACAGCCTACTTTCAATGAATGCTTTGTGGAGAAAATAAAAATGGTGTAAAAAGAAGTAGCCTTTGGAAAACTCATCAATCACAGCAGAAGACAAAGAAAGGGGAAAGGGAGGTGGGGTTAGGAAAGGGTGCCAAGAGCGTCCTTCATCCTCCATTCTCAGAGTATGAATGCAGGGGTCTCAGCGTTGAAAGGGAGATGGACTCACCAATAACACAGCCACTTGAGAACACAGCAGCCACACAGATGAATAGACTAATAAGTTTGGTCATCGTGTGGAAATTGTAAAAATGTTTTGAAGGAAGTTGAGATTTTTGAAGAATTATCATCTGTGTTTGATAGTTGAAGGCATAAAAAAAACTAATTATAATTTGTGGCATTTATGAGTAAGATTCCCTGCATTGACCACATATGGGAATTTGTCCTTTGCCTTTGACTAATCTTTCAATTTAGTTTTTAAATTATTTATAGCCTTGGTTTACCAAAATACAGAATAAAATAATTTACTGTTATCAATCCAGGAGCCAACATTACACAAATTTGTCATTGCTAGAGAAATGCCACAGTATGCAACATTTAGCCCCAAAAAAATCCCTAAAAGAAAAGTATGTTTTCAATATTTTTGGTTGTGTTCATTGAACAAAACATAAGAAGAAAAACATTGTTTTCATGTAAATTGCTGTTCCTTTGGCTATAATCTGCCACAGTGGCATAAAATGTATCTATCTCCATGGAGAATGTTCTGAGGTATGGTTTTAACTTGTCACCTCCAGAAAGTTACCTACTATACCTTTAAAAGAGACCTACTGTGCTTGTGTCTGCTATGCGGTTATAATCTATGACATCCGTCGATCATTATGTTATCATTTGCCTTTTTGAAATCAAAATTTCCATAGTCATTTAAACCTATTTAATAAAAGAAACAAGGGTAGCTACAGATCACACTAGTGAGAGATTTTTTTTTTCCATTTGTAGCAAAAAATAATACAGAGCACTGCCGAATCCTACGCTTGTTGATAATTGATAAAGAAAATAAAACTGAAGAACAGAGCAGTGGTGAAAACTGGAATTGATTGGCAATATGGTGTCCTGAAAATAACAATTAAAGATCAATCAAACATGCTTGAATCACTCCAAATACAACTTGAGAGTCAAAATGAGAAAATAATAGGTCTGCTTTAACCATAATCAACCTTAAAGTGCAGATTAGCATACATTTACAATACAGATACTAAGACTAAAATAAACATATTCCATATCACCATATTATCTCATATTTTAATAAAAAAATGACCAGACCATTTTGAAACACAACTTCTAAAAATATTATGGTGTTGTTTACAGTGATCGGTGCCTCGATCTAAATGAATGGGATCTGTGCACACTGGCGCAGCATCCGTCTTACCTGGATGAGTGATTCGCTGAGCCGCTCCTCGTCCACCTCCAGCACAATGTCCCGGATCTCTTCATAAGGCAGGCGGAACGAGCCCAAGAAAATAGCTGTTGTGATGGAGAGAGAGAAGGGAAGAGTCATTTCCACTGCCTTAGAAGACCGTGGGGTTCAAAGAGACATTCCAGCACTCATCGGTCCTCACACAAAATGACCACACACCCAACTTGTCACAGAGGAACAAGCAACACACTCCCTGTACTTGCTCTAAGTCACCTTGACAAAAACAATACAGGAGGCATTTTGTGTATGATTCCGTAAAAGTTGTTTGCTATATTCAACAACAACTCTTAGTGAGAGTTTGTATTATTGAAGTATATCTATTACTGAAGTAGTAAAACAGCTGTATTGAAGTATTTTAGATTAGAGGTTCATTAAAGGCGCTGTACCAGATTTTTATTGTCTTAAAAACGTGAAAAACAGAACTAGTTAATTTTAAATGGTTTGCATTAGTGGGTTATTGCTCATTAATTATTCACCGCAATGAGTTTTCACATACATACATGCATATATATAGTTGTCTGCCGTAGTTTCATGTTATCTCTTTCAGTATTTCGGTGACGTATACTGATCATCCAAAAACTAACCCATTTCCCCTTTAACAATTCATAGTGTTTCAGAGTATGAGTCATGAGCATAGCTTGACATAATATAGTGCAATAGTACATAATGTAGTGCAATAATGGAACCACAAAACGGCAACTACAGTCTCCTCTAGAATTGAAAAAAAGCTAAGACAATGACTAAAAAGAGTGAGTATGAGTGGCGCCTCATGGACTAGTTGCACAACTGTTGTCTGCCATGTTGGAGGAGGCTTCAGTTTTGTTTTGGTAGATGCACTCGCCTGCACCCGCCTGCAGGGGACAGCCCAGTGGGCATTTTACTCTCTAGCTAAGGTGCCTCCACTGGAAACTGGAGCTGATGGCGTATCCAGGTGGAAGTCACAGGTGGAGCTTTGGTAATGAGTTGGAGGAGACTAGCACAACAGCTGCTGTTGTGCCGCGGCGCTGGGACCTGATGTCTGCATTCCATGTGTAACAAAGGGAGAGTTAACATAGTCATTTCTGCATACACAAAAGTACGCTTTACAAGGAGGAGTCAATGTATATTGTTTCTCTGTTAAGATTTAAGTAGCTTTGATAGTCCTGGCTGCGCAGTGTCAGTGATTCGTAGTACTACCCCTCACGCAATGGCATGACATAAATGAAAGTGCATTTAATCAAGCAGAACATGACATCCTTGTGTAGAGTCTCACATCCATAACACTGCAATATGTTCTATAGATTCTGTTTAGATAAAACAACAGCTGGATGTGAAATTCTCTTGGGGAAGGCTTGTCAAAAGAGATTCTCGCAAATGTTTGTAAATTACTAAGTGTAGCTGATGTGGGTGACAAAGAAGGCAGGTTAGATGTGAGACGTGCTAAAAGCCTACAGCAAAGAAAGAAATCCAAGTAACATTTGTTCTGTGTTGTCACTTCTGTATCTGCACCTGTTATCTGTCTTAATATTCACTTTATGTTCATTTTTAAATGTTCTGCACCTGTCAATGTCATACTAAAAGCTGTGGTGTTTATCTGAGTGAAAAGAGTAGAATTAAGTTGGGTTTACAGAGGTGGATCAGGCTGAACAATAGATCATCTTTGTGCAGTAACCAATTCACTGGGAGCCCACTTTTAGCTTAGCCGAAACGAGAGGTCTGGTAATTGTTGTTATTGTCAACGTATCCTATAGAGACACTAATACCAGGATTTCAATCGGCCTGCAGACTGTATTGTCTGTGTACCCATAACTCCATTTCACTTGTGCGTCTTTGGCAAAAAAGCTCCATTGTTGTCGAAAAATGATTAAAAACACATCACCAAGTCTCACGTCTGCGCGGGGTGACATTCTTGTCTTCATTGTGAACAGAAGGGAACACTATTTCCCTCTCTTGTACATCACTTAATGGTTTGTCAGATAAAGATTTTGCCTTACTTTTGACAACAAGCTGATGCCTTTTTTGGGGGGAAAAGAGTATTTTTTTTTCTCTATAACACAAGCCCATATCAGGTCAAAAAAACAACCAGACACTTCAAAAAAGCCATTACATTTAATATAATACATAGACATGGTTTGTAAATGGTAAAATGGTTGCAGCGTAGTGCCGTAGCTTAAAGGTGCATTATGTAATTTTTCTACCTGTTACAAATTGGATGTTATTTCTTTGCTTGGAATGTTCCAGTTTAATATCAAATGTATCCATCTTGCATGTATTCAGTTGTGATGTTTTTATTGCTTAAACCTTGAAATCTTACAATCTTACAGTGAGTGGGGTTGCCTCTCCACAGATCTGACCCATAACTTGGCCTGGTAATGCCACGTGCTATTGTCTCCATGGAGATAAGATACATTTATTGGAAAATTGTGGAATAACATGATCTCATATAGTATATACATATCATATATACAGGCAGCAGACCCTCCACTAAGAACACATAGTTACATAGTTCAAACCTGATTTAACTGACAACTAAATTTGAGTGAAATTATTTTAAACAAAAGCCATGTTATTTTGATCCAATTATTTTCACATATAGTGTGTATGCCCATGAATACACGCCATAACATATTACATCTTTCAATTGCAATTTGAAAAAAGTGAGAATTTCTACACTTATCTCTACTTTCTGCCATACTCCACAGACATCTGTCAGGGATGTAAACAAAGATGGCTGTGGCACCTCTCACATGTGTCACATGTGATACATGTACTGACATGTGTGGATGGCACATGCAGAGATGACAACACATGCACACACGTATCTTATTTTGATTTGAAGGTCATGGTCAAAGTAGCAAAAATATACTCACAAAGATTCTGTGCTGTTTTGCTGTCCAGGATTCGAAGCTCCTTTGCCTTTTTCTTGAACTGTTGCATTCTGCTGTCAGTATCATCCGTTGTATCCTTTTTAACTGGAAAGACAAAACAAGATATTTCAGGGTCATTTTGGTCATGGAATAGTAGTCAAAAACAAGTAAACACTATAATGATATTAATTGCAGCAATTGCAGATCTGTTGCTGGAGAAATGTGTGGGCCACTTTAAGCACAATACAATGACTCAGTTTTAGTTTGGGTATTGGTCCATTCATAACTCTAATTATTAAAAAATATAATTACTGAATTAAATGTGATGGTTTAGTCATCATACAAGATGGCAGTGCATTTGGTTGCTGCCCATTTTTTATTTTATTTTATTTTTATTTTTTTCTAGGACTGTCACATTTCACAATGTAATGTAGTGTAACACTTGGATGTGTCACATCACCTGCATGATTCCATGGAAATGAAAGATTAAAATCATACAATCTTAATCTCCATAAATATAGACATGTTTGTTGTCATACTGTACAAGATTTTGGTCAAAGGAACAACAATAGAAACAAGCAGAAGCACGTACTCCTTCAAGCCCAATAAGAGTCACGTTTGTGGAGATGGAATCCCACTCAGCTGCCACGTTTTTCAACATTTTGTCCGGTCATAAACACAGCAAAATTGAAAAACATGCTTTTATTTTAGTTTTATATTTAATTTTTTTTGCTAAAAGTTACAAACTGTGGCTTTAAAGTGCCTCGCACACATCATTACTGCCATATTTGACACAAATCTGGCAGCACCCAAAATCACAGATGAATTTATCGTTTTCATTTGAACATCTTTGCCAAAATATCTGTCACAGTGACGGTGGGTAGTTGGTGCTAAGCCAAGGAGATACGGGGGGATAATTGTGTTACCTCCCATGGTTCCATCAAAATGGCATTGAAGTCTGTGTTATTTCACTGAACACAATGGACAAACTGGTGCAAAACTGAACAGACCTATGTTTTCATAACGGAAGCAATATTGAGTCAGTAGGGAACGCCACGTGTCAGCATGGATTTATCTACATCGTGCTTAAGATTTTCTGTGCACAAACATTATATAAAGCTGTATTATGGGACATTTATATTTGAGAGGTGGAAGTATATTGTACACTTATTTGTTGATTCCAGAGCATTAGAATATGTGAATAGAATGTCAAATAGTAAATGACCAATCAAACAAAAAGAACCAAACAAACTATGGTGGCACAATACACATTTCTAATCAGCTACTGGCCATGCCTCACAAAAAGAAAAAAAAATGCTTTCCTAAAATTTTTTCAAGTGAAATGCTTTATGTATTTAGTAGCAGTAGAGAATTACAGTAGAGATTCAAGTCCAAACTCACACTGCTTAGAAAGCAGGGTTGTCCAAACACACAGATGCTTATAAAACTGACTGAAAGTAATTGAAAGATATTCATTTAAACAGGAATAATTACTGAAAAAAGAACAAAACAAACTGGACTTTCCCCGGAATTGATACAGAACTAGTTATATATCAAAACTAGCATAAGACCACATGGTAATATTATGGTATTATTATGTAATTAAGTTATCTTTTAAAAAGAGTAGTTTTCATTTTTTATTATCACTGTTATCAAATTGGAATTGGGTATCCATTTTCCTTAGTTTTGAAAAGTTGTTATTATCATGACCACATTATTATAAGAAAGTCCTGCTAACTACCTTTTATAAGTACCACAAAATAGAAAAATGTACAAAGCAAAAGCTGATTTCTTTCTTTCCAGTATTTTCTGCTAGAGACATCTAATCATCACAACAAGCCTGCTAAAGCCCAAGGTGGGAGTCTCCCAGGAAATCTAGAACAAACAATCTGTCCCCCTAGTGCTGGCTTGCATGTTTGAAGAAGGAATCAAAGAGGCAACATCTCCTGGGCAGCCTGCAGAAGAAGGCACGCCGAGGACTCCTGCTTAGCTGTCAGCGCGTGACACCTCCGATGCTATCCTTTATTGTATTAAAGTGTAACCCTAGCACCAGCATGTGTAGCATAATCTTTTGTTGGAGGAGTTGAAAGCACATGTATATGGTTACACTACTTTACAGCGAACGGACAAGGAAGTTAATTCTTTTAAGCACGCGGCCCTGCTATAATTTCAAAATAGGCTCGGAGCAGATCTTGGCAAGGGGAACAAGGGAATGAGCCAGCGTCACGGTAAAAGCTACATCATGTACAGTAATATTAATAATGGCTGCGCTTGGGAGTACTGGTGTTTTTCAAATAAGCACGATGCAGCTAATATCAGTGGGCGCTCACGGAGAGTGCCTGGAGTGAATAGTGGTACAGCCAGGAGCGAGTCTTTTGTAGCGGTGCTGTGTGGCGGAACGGCCCCCTCACACTGCCAGCTTCAGACGAGAGGCACTTCAGTCACCTGTGCTATGAGAATGTCTGACCTGCTTCATTGTACACATTCAGTTTGTGAAGTCTTTCCTGACTTCTCTTATTTATGATTAAGATAAGTGTAATTGTCACACTAGTCTGTTAGTAGTTAGCAGTGGGTTAAAATATATTTTGCTGTGTGTAAATTTTACTGAAATTGTAAAGGTTACCCTTAAAGTTATTCATTATTTTGTTTTATCTGTAGATGGCAGATGTGAATTTTGTTCCCCCATTCCTTCACCTGGCCTTTGTTCAGGCTCACCTGTGCTCTCTGGTCTTTTTCTGTCAGACAGAAGTAATGTAGATAGTATCTAGTGGTGGCATGTGGGAATACAACAGGGCCAGGTCAGCCAAATTAATTATGGATGGTAGCTTTAATACATTTAAGTTTCAATATCAAAAAAACAAACTCTGAGCCCTAGGAAAAGTAATATTTCAAAGTTAGCTATTTTAAAAAGAATACAAATACTTACTGAATCAACCTATTCCTCTCAAAGGCAATTGTTTTATGTAACAATATAGAGGAAAAAATGTGAATTATCTTAGGACAGTTGAGCGGTGTGAGGCCTTGTACAAAGAAACTGGAGAGCTAGTAAAAATACAACACAGTGCAACAATGATGTCCCACTGAGGATGGCCCGGAGACAAGCCAAATCAAACAGCGAGGAGAATTTGCCTACATTTGGTATATTAAGTATTCTCTTAAAGACTTGACTTGATTTGCTCCTCTGCACTCATAGGTCTCTCTCTCTGGACGGGAGCTGTGGGCACATTCATCAGTGGCTCAGCTGTCTGTGGCCTTGCCCCCAGGGACCTGCGCTGTCTCAAATTAAACAGGAAAACAGCGTCTTTAATAATGTGAAACACTGCTTCCGATAGAGCCACTTGAGCAGGGCTGTTGGCTGACTCAATTATGCCACATGTCACAAGGCTCCCGTGAGCGCTGCATACCACTGATAAGCCCTGGAGGACTCGCACACTTCGAAGCTGCCACACTAGTTAAGAGTCCCAGGTGTGCGCCTGGACCACTATACGTGGCACTTTTCAACCAGATGGCTGCCCACATAAATAAGCAACTTTCAGAAATGTCTCCAAAACTTTGAGAACAAAAAAGTTATCAACTGCTTATGGGATGACTTGTTCTGAGTATAAACAGAATCTTTGAATGCCAACACAGCTTAACCTGCCCCAGAGCAAACTTGACTAGCAGCTGATAGCAGTTGATGCCAGTATATAAACGTGTTCCACTTGTCGCCCAGTGGCTAAAATGTAAGACTGAGAAAACATGGCCCTCCCTCATGCACCACTTCATATTTGTTAATGCAAGCTCTGAGCTAATCATACAGTGAGCAGCCTTTTGTGTACTGTACAGTGTTGGCAGGCTGCAGGACTGTAATCCAGGAAGACTTTTTCCAAACAATAATGTCAGAGAGAGTGCCAAATAGAGCAGTAACTTGTACTAGACATTCTGTCAAATCTATTTATGACAAGCAACAACCAATCACTGAGTGGGTGGTTTGATTAGTTCATTGTAGCGTGTGAAGTTCAGTATACTTTGTTGTAGCATATATTTTACATCTTGTTGTTTTTCAACCTAAATAAAACTTCTTTTGTATGTTTTTTGTATGATTGTTCCAATACTGTTAGCAAAGTTATTTTATTAAATCACTGATGATATCTGATCACAGTGGGATACTGTACAGCTTCTGCAACCAATTCCGACAGGTAGTGAGGTCAGCCATCAAATATATAATGTTACGTTTATTCAACTGGACAGTATATAAAAAAATAAAAGTAAATACAATTAATGTAGTTCGTAAAAATAAAATGTTCCGAAACTATGGGCTTACTAAAAACAGTTTGTCCTCTAAGGGAGGAAAAGAATTAAGATCCATTTGACACAAAATTGGCCCAACAAGTGAAAAATGTACCAGGGAATTATAAATAGTGAGTATTTCACACTGATTTGTGGTAATATATAAAGTAACAGGGGTGACAGGCATTGGGAGGCCTGTCAGAGCGCAATGTTTCAAAGCCGTGTTTAAACAAAAACATGAAAGATTGACTAAAGCCAACATTAGCACATGAAGGGAGGGAAGTCTCTGGAGATTTTAACTGTTACTCATTCCATTAACTGAGGGGGAGTCGGGCTCTCTCTACGCCAAAAGGAGTCACCAAACTGATAGAGAAAACGCAATGGCATGAAGTGCTCGAAAAGAAACAGCTTTGGCTTATTACAGTTGACTTGGCATCTTTGTTAAGCCCCCTCTGTGGAGCTTGGACCGAGGTATGCCCACGGGAGGTTCTGCGATAACAAGAGTTCTCCGACGCTTGGACACTGCAGTCTGTTTGCTGGCCCGCACTCGCCTCCCTGGTGCCGATCCACGCGATATCTCCTACAAGACATCTATGAAACTCAGGGCATTACGAAGCTAAACACTACCACATGTTCACTTCCGGACGCTAAAGCTTCAACGCCACTCGTCCCAAAAAACAAAACAAAAAATAGTCTTGAAAATAACAGAAATGGCAGATGACAGGTCTTCGACAAACATATTTAAAGGCGAAAGGGACTCGGAGTGGAACAGACAATGTGGAGAGTGCTCTACGGCCAGGCAATTTATTCCCTCAAATGTGCAATCTGCCCGCAAA